TCCTCAAGCGTGATGCAATAAAGCTCTCCCCTGTTGCTGTGCTACGAGGAGCTCCTTCGGGGACAGTCGAAGGAAAGCCTTATCCCACGCACGACAGAGAAATAAAGCTCAGGACAGGGGCAAAGAATCGCTCCTTAGAGGCTGTTGACGAGGTGCTCCTCCAGGGCACTGCAAAAAGGAGCTCCTCTGATCAGGTGAAGACATCCAAGTGAACAGTGCGATGACGGACTTTGCCAGTGCACTGCAGATAAGGGACTCTCCCGGCAGGCCTGATGAAGGCACTTCTGGCAAGCCATGATGAGGAAGCTCCCCCCAGCAAGCCACACTTACAGGCTCTACCTGCACTGTGCCAAAAATGACTCCTACCAGGTGCTGTAAGGAAGGCCTCCTCCAGCACCATGAAAGGCTCCTGTGCCTGGTGCTCCTTCACTGCAGCTCCTCAGGCAAAACACACCTATGAGATCCCCAGCACAGCACCATGAGGGGATCCTCTGCTTCTCCTGATGAAGAGCTGCTCCCATGTGGTCCAATGAACCATAACCACCACACTGTACTATACTCTACCGTACCACACCACACATACAGTACAATACAAAAGAATGCAAAGGCATATATACCATCAGACCACAATATACACCAGACCACATAAGATGAAATTATACCATACAATACATACCATAAAAGACAGTACAAAAATAATACACAGATGGCAGTAAAACACAGTACAGATAACACAAGGCACAAAACAAAACACAAAAGGAAATATGTGACTCACAAAAGATGATACACTAAATATATAAAACCACATCAACTGCACTACAACATACAATAAATACCGTACCAGACAACACAATGCATATAACGGACAATACAAAGCACATTATCTAGTACATTAAAAAATAATATCATACATATAATCATATACATAAAATAAACATCATATCACACATATACTATCATACATGTAATATCATACATATAATCATACATAGAATATGCTTACAAAATACAAAACCACAGCACAATACAAAACCAATATGAAAAATACACAATGCAAAATAAAATAAAAAATACCATAATGCAAACACTGCATTAGAACTCGACGCCACAGAGTACGACCCAAACAATACAATCATTACCATTCCATCAAATACATACATTGAACACTACAATATCAAGAACAATACATCATACAAGTGCACAACTAAAGCACATTAAATCAGAAGACAATAAATCAGATATACTATTACATGCAGGAAATTATGCCAAACATACAATACAAGGAAGACCAAACCTTGGAAGGCACAGCCTA